CATTAGTGTTATTATTGTTATAATTGTGATTTTACTGTTTTATTGGGTTTTATACATGGGCTTGCGCCCCTTGTAAGCCGCCCTGAGCCCGCTTGCGGGGAGGGCGGGGTAAAAATGCTTTAAATAAATAAATAAATAAATAAATAATAAACAAACAAGGTAAACAGAATAAGAAGCAAAAGGTGGGTGTGGCTGGATGAGCACACTTCTGGTAACATGGGGGTGCAGCCTAATATGCCAATGAGCTGTGCTGTCATGGGTGTGGCCCAATATGCTAATGAGTTCCTGCTGTTGGGTGTGGCCTATTATGCTAATGAGTTCCTGCTGGGCTTTTTTCTACAAAACGAGCCCTGCCAAGGACTAAGCAGGGCCGACCCTGCTTAGCTTCCAAGATCGGGTGAGACTGGGCTAGTCTGACCGATCCAGATCAGGGCCTTTTCTGCAGCAGCTCCCAGTACTAGATCACAGTTCTTTCATACTTACCGAGGGAACTGGCTTCTCCATCGCTGTCCTGCTTGGCTTCCCTGTACAGCTGCCACTGCCCAGCGTCCAACAGGGCCTGCTCTGCCTTGGGGCCGTTTCCGGGCGTCTCCTGGAAAGACCTTGGCACCTGCAATGGCAACAAAGCAAGATCCCTTTTTTAGAAAAGAAGCAACGGTCTCCTAATTTCCATATTCAAAGGTATGCAGACATGCTGACTTGCAGCTTTAAGGGGGGAAAAAATCAAAGTTATTTTGAACCACCAGATTTATACCCGAAAACTCAACCAACAAATGACTGTTGAAGACAAGCTTGCATCCGGCGGGCACAGGAGAAGAGGGCCTTTTCAGTGGCGGCCCCACAATGATGGAACAATCTCCCCAGGGAGGAGCACCTGGCTCCCTCACTGTCGATCTTCAGGAAGCATTTGAAGACAATTTAGGACTGCATTTGTAGAAAAGAGCAAGAGTCCAGTAGCACGTTAAAGACTAACTAAATTGGTGGCAGGGGATGAGCTTTTGCTCACTTCTTCAGATACAGCTGGAACGGGAGTCCACCTGTCCTTATATCTCAGAGAGTGGAGGGATTTCAGATGTCAAATGACAACAGCAGGTGAAGGATAATAGTGCTTCAACTGCCATTTAAATGTCATTTATCGGTTATTGTCATTTGGCATCTGAAATTGCTCCACTCTCCAAGCTAGAAGACAGATAGATGGACTCCCATTCTCGCTGTATCAGAAGAAGTGAGCAGTGACTCACAAAAGCTCATCCCCTGAAACCAATTTACAAACGAAATGTTTCTTATAACATGACAAACATAGCCACCACCGTATACAGAAAGCCACTGTTCCAACTTTAGTGTACGTGTTGCTGAAGCAAGCGACACACAAAACGCATCACGGAGCCAAGAAAATATATCCGTGTACATAATATTGGTGTAAAACCAACAATTCAGGCTACTAAAGTAGTCCCTAGGTGAGCATCTCGAAAAAGAGTTGCCAGCCTCAAAGTGGGGCCTGGCCTGGAGCTGTCCTGGAATTACAGTTGATCTCCAGATGACAGAGATCAGTTCCCTGGGGGAAAATGGCTTCTCTGGAGGGTGGAATCTATGGCATTACACACAACTGCCAGTTTGGTGTAGTGGTTAAGTGCACAGACTCTGATCTGGGAGAATCGGGTTTGATTCCCCAGTCCTCCACTCGCAGCTGCTGGATGACCTTGGGCAAGTCATAGTTCTGTCAGAGCTGTTCTTGAAAAGAGCAGTCCTCGAAAGAGCTCTCTATGTCCCACCTACCTCACAGGGTGTCTGTTGTGGGGAGGGGAAGGGAAAGGAGTTTGTAAGCCGCTCTGAGAATCTGAGTGAAGGGTGGGGTATAAATCCAATCTCAGCTGGTTATCCTTCCCCACCCTAGTCCCAAGAAAAGAGCAAGAGTCCAGTAGCACCTTAAAGACTAACAAAACTTTTCTTGAGTCACTGCTCACTTCTTAACTTGAGTAACTTCTGAAGGGTACACTTACACATCAATCTCCAATTTCGATATATTTATTTGCTTCGCTATGTCCCCCCACCCCCCCGCCATTAAATCCAAACAAATGGTGACCATATACCCCAAGCTTGTTATTCCCATTTGGCCCTCGTATCTGTTTAACATCTTCATTGTGTTGCATGCTAGTCTGCTGCTCATCCTCTACCTATATGTATATAACTGGTAACGTCCGCTTCAATGTATCTGAAGAAGCGTAACTTGAATAAAACTTTGTCGGCCTTCAAGGTGCCACTGGACTCGAATTTTGTTCTACAGCCTTTGGCAGTGAAGGGTCAGGGAAAGGGAGAACAAAGACATGGGGGCTCTCAGCAAGAGGTCCTACCGGGCTCTCCGCAAGAGGTCCTTCTGGGCCCCCTCCCAGTGCCAAGGGGGCCCAAGGCTGACAGCCACCCAAGGACGCTGGCCTCCGACAATGGCTCCAACCGTCCTCCTAAGGCCGTCACGGAGTTCTCAAACCCACAGCTCGGTCGTCAAGGACTCACCTGCTGCTCCCACCTCTTGGTCTCCCGCTGCCTTGTCAGGAAATCCTCAGCCAGGACGACCGCCTGGGAGCAGGTCCCCGGCCCGCCTTCCCGGACCCAGCTCTGGATCTCCACCGGCAAGATGGTCAGGAACTGCTCCAGGATGACCAGCTCCAGGATCTGCTCCTTGGTGTGCCTCTCGGGTTCCAGCCAGTGACGGCAGAGCTCCCGGAGCCGGCCGCAAACTTCCCGTGGCCCTTCGGCCTCCCGGTAGCAGAACTGCCTGAAGCGTCGCCGCTGCGTCTCCGCCCTGACAGGGTCGCCCCTCGAGACCTCGGCTTTCAATTTCCCATGATCCCCCTTGTCTCTGGCTTCCAGGGTGTTGCAGGTCGGTTGGAGTTCTCCGGCCAAAGGCCGGGCCGCCCATTCTCCTCTCGGCCACAGCCACGCGTCGGTGGCTCCCTCAAACGGGCCGCCAAAGGCCTTTCCGCTATCCTCCCACGGAGCGGGTGCCAGCAAGTGTGGGTTTCCCCACGCCGGGTGAGGGGACTGAACGGCCTTCAGGAACTCCTGCCAGGGCCCATCCCAAGTATCCGGCATCCCCTCGTCCGGCTCCTGCTTCACTTGCTGTGGGGCTGCCCATCTTGGAAGGCCCCGCGGCGTCCCGTCCTGAAAAGCAGGGGCGGCTTTTCCTGTTTCCTTTGTGCCCTTCCTGGGTCTGGGGCCTGCTAAGTCTTCGTGGCCCCCGAGTTTCCCCTCCAGCTGCACCTCTTGCTCCGGCACGGTCTGGAATTGGAGGCCTAGAGATGTCACGGTTCTTTCCACAGCAGCCATCCTCTCGCAGCCTAAAACAGAAGAACACAACCGCTGCCTAGCTGAAGCACCATAAGGACCTGTGCAACCCAGTTCCCTGTCTACGGCAGAGGACAGCTAGGGGTTCCTCAGAAGTTCACAGCCAAGCCCTGTTGGAAAAGGCCAGACCTGAGGAACCACAGCAGAACCAGCATCTCCAGTTACAGATCAGGTACTAGACGATGTGAAAGACCTCTGCCTGAAACCCTGGAGAGTCATTGCTAGTCTGAGTAGATAATACTGAGCTCAGTTGATCAAGGGTCTGATTGACTATAAGAAGAAGAAGTGAGGAGTGGGGAATCAGGAGAAACTTCCTAATTGTAAGAGTGGTTGAGCAGTGGAACAGTCTGCCTCGGGAGGTGGTGGATGCTCCTTCGCTGGACGTTTTCAAGCGGAGGCTGGACGACCATCTTTCGGGTATGTTGTAGGTATGTAGGGCTATCTTTCCGCTATGCTCCTGCAGAGTGCAGGGGGTTGGACTAGATGACCTGCAAGGTCTCTTCCAACTCTAACATTCTATGATTCTATCAATCAAACCTGGTCTTCCCAGATTAGAGTCCGCTTCATATGTTTAGGCGATGTAGCACTTAGAGTAGAACTGGGGAGACCCAGGTTCAGATCTCTGCTCTCTCACGGAGCTTGGTAAGTTCAAGCCTCCTCCCAATTTTATCTGCACAACAACCCTATCGGGTAGGTCTGGCTGACACGATGTGTCTGGGCTAAAGTCAGCCAGCAAGATTCCAAGGCAGAGTGTGGATCTGAACCCGGGTCCCCCAGACCCTAGTCCAACAACTGAACTGCTACACCACACTGGCTCTCTTAGCCATCAGAGCCAGTACTGAACCTGGGACAGAATCACAGAAGAAGAGAAGAGATTGGATTTCAACCCTGCTCTTCACTACCCAAAGAAGACTCAGAGTGGTTTACAATCCCTTTCCCTTCCCCTCCCCACAACAGACACCCTGTGAGGTAGGTGGGGCTGAGAGAGCCCTCTTGAGAACTGCCCTTGAGAGAACAGCTCTGAAAGAACTTGTGACTGACCCAAGGTCACACCAGCAGCTGCATGTGGAGGAGTGGGGAATCAAGCCTGGTTCTCCGCGCTCCGAACCACTACACCAAACTGGCTCTCATAGAGTTGGAAGGGTCCATACATGCCACCTAGTCCAACTCCTTGCTCAGTGAAGGATCAGCCTAAAGCATCCCTGACCAGTGTTCGTCCAGCGACTGCTTGAAGACTGCCAGTGAGGGGGAGCTCCCTAGGCTGCCGATTCCACCGCTGAACCACTCTGACTGTAACAAAATGCTTCCGAATATCCATCCGGTACCTTCCGCCGATAATTTAAACCCAATATCGCGAGTCCTGTCCTCTGCTGCCAACCGGAACAGCTCCCTGCCCTCCTCTAAGTGACAGCCTTTCAAATGCTTCACGAGAGCAATCGTGTGTGTGTGTGTGTGTGTGCGTGTCCCAAACCTCATCTTCTCCAGGCTGAACATTTCCAAGTCAAGAACAATAGCAGATCTATTCTCTCTTGCTCCGGATTGCAAGACTAGATCTAATGGGTGGAAATTACAAGGGAGTCGTTACCGGCTAAATATCAGGAGAAACTTCCTAACTGTCAGAGTGGCTGAGCAGTGGAACAGTCTGCCTCGGGAGGTGGTGGATGCTCCTTCACTGGACGTTTTCAAGCGGAGGCTGGACGACCATCTTTCGGGTATGTTGTCGGTATGTAGGGCTATCTTTCGGCTATGCTCCTGCAGAAGGCAGGGGGTTGGACTAGATGACCTGCAAGGTCCCTTCCAACTCTAACATTCTATGATTCGATGATTCTAAGTCCCTCAGCCTTTCCTCATAAGGTTTCGTCTTCAGGCCCTAATCATCCTTGTGGCTCTCCTCAGCACCCGCTCCATTCTGTCCCCATCCTTTCTGAAGTGAGGCCTCCAGAACTGCACATAGTACTCCAGGTGGGGCCCAACCAACGTCTGACTCATGTCTCCCCATACCCCCTCCCTTACAGCCACCAGCTGACACGGGTTTTGTCCCTGCAGGCCCCATGGCCTTTGGGTGGTCGAAGGGGCTGCCCTCCTCCTTTTCCATCAGCAGAAAAGCTGGGGGGTCCCAACCCACACTTTCTCAGAGAAAGAACTTGACACGAGCAGGGAAAAGGCAGAGCAGGCCTGTAGCCACAGCGGGGCATTTAGGGGCAGTGCCCCCTCACTCATGAGCCATGCCCCACAACTCCTGCTGTGGACGTTGTGCCGGCAGGGAAGGAAAGACCCTCCTCTTCTTCACCGGCCTGCCAACGGGATCTCTCTCTCTCTCTATCCCCTGCTCCCCGAGATTTCCCCAACGCCTCACCGCCACAAATTTTCTGGCTATGCCCAGGCCGCAGAGTTAGCGTCAACAGACTTTGGAAAAAGCCGCTCTGCACAGGATTGCCCTCCACAACCACTCCCTTCAAAGATGCGAAGTATCTGGTGTACCACTGAGCCACCCCGAACTTCAGGTTTTGGTACGGGAGATGGTCTGGGGAATGGTGGTAGAAACTGCTGCCGTCGCAGCAGAGTTAGTGCGGCACCCAGGGGTCATTTCCTGCAGGAGCGCACAGGAGCGGAGCTCCGGCAGTAAAGAGTCCAGGGGGCGGGCACATGCAACAAGCCCCACCCCCTGCTCCCAGCAGCCCTCAGTCAGAGCAAGAAGCAGCCAGGTAAGTTGCAGAGCCCCCCCCCGCCCCCCCGGTCCAAAACAGTCCAGTGGCACCATTAAGACCAAGTTTTATTCAGGTACAAGCTCTCCCTCCTCTGCGAGGACAGATCTGCAGGTTCCCCCCCCCAACCAATAGCTAGCAATCCAAAACAGTCCCGTGGAGCCTGAGCGGTGGGTGTTGCCTTCTGACACACTTCCGGTGATGCCAGGGGGTGTGGCATATGCAAATAAGCTATGCTAATGAGTTATGCTAATGAGCTCCTGCACCTCCTTTTTCTACGAAATGACCCCTGGCGGCACCCTTATGGTCTTGCAAGGCTAGAGAGGAACAAGCGGTGGTTTACCATGGAACAACCCTGGACTTCCTTGATAGTCCCCCAGTTAGGGATGCCAGCCTCCAGGAGGGACCTGGGGATTCCCTGGAATGACAGCCCACTTCCAGACTATTAAAACCAGTTCCCCTGGAGAAAACGGATGCTTTGGTGGGTGGACTCTCTGGCACTGTGCCCCACTGAGGTCCTTGTCCTCCCCAGGCTCCACTCACAAAATCTCCAGGTCAGGTGTTCCCCAACCTGGATCTGGCAACCCTATCCCCCCCATCCCCTGTCAGTGGGGGGGGGGATGTGGCAACCCTGCTGTCTCTCATCCAAGTATCAACTAGGGATGTTAGTTTCCAAAACCAGGCTAACCACAGAGGGCACAGCAAGGAAAGCATCACCAACGATTTTTTTATCCTGGCCAGGCTGTTGCTGTAGAGGCAGACATGCAAACGGCCCCCATGAACAGCTCTGGGGAACGATCAGATGCCCAAGAGAAGTCCGGATGCTCTCGGTGGTGGGCAATGTTCCCTCTAAGCTGTGGAGTCTTGTGAGCAAAAAATCTATTTTGTGAGCTACTGGCATTAAAGTTGTGAGTCAGCAATTTGGCTACTGCACAAATTAGCTTGCTCTGGAGCCCTCCTTCCTGAGCTAAGACAAAAATGTGTGAGCTGGAGGCTAAAAAACTGTGAGCTAGCTCACACTAACTCGGCTTAGAGGGAACACTGGTGGTGGGCTCCTCTCCCCTGCGGATAACGGGACTCGCTCCTCCGGATTTTGCCGCGATGCTGCGGAAAGAGCGGCACCTGTTGGACGCCGACCTTGCCGGGACCCTGGTAAAAAAGCACGCTCCCCTCCCCTCCCCTCCCCTCCAACAACCGGGAAACCTGGAAATGCAACCCAGGCTGAATCAGCAAATCCAGGCCAGGAGGACACCCCCCGATCTGAACGCGGGAGCGCCCCTCTTTCCCCCTCCCACTCATCCTCTCTGCCTGTTCTCCCCACCCCGGGCCGCGCTGTCCCGTCCCCACCTTTTGCACGTCTGAATGCGTGTCTAGCTGGCTGCCTCTGCCCTCCCCCCGGATCCTTGCCCTCCCCCACCGCAACAAGCCTTTCAAGCTCACCCCCGGTAGCCAGATCCCCCTCCCACGTGGGAGGTCGGGGGAGGGGGGGAAGAGGTGGCAGGAAGGAAGGAAGGAAGGAAGTCTCTGTAGCAGACACTTCCCCGGTTTCCCACGCCTTGCTAGGCAGAGCGGCTCTTGGTCTCTCTTAACTCTTTCGGTGCCCATCCTCATCGTCGGCCGGATCTCAAAGCCGCCTTCCTTCTACATTCGTTGTCGGCTTGCAAGCGGAATAAATAACTTGGTTGGGCGGGCAGGCAGGCAGGCAGACATCCGCAAGGTGCAGCATCGGGGGCAGGGCGCGCTGATGGGGAAAGACGCTTCTTCGGCTGATGGATCTCCGGCCGCTGGGTGACGGTGCAAAAGCGTATTTGTCCACTTTATTCTTCATATGTTTGAGACTGTAAGCGCCTCGGGGCGGAGCATAAGGAGAACCGCCTGCCGGCTTTTGGAGCCTCGGCCAGCCGTTGCGGTTGCCGCCTGGAGCTTGGCGTGGCGTCGTAGGGAAGAGTCCCAGGAACGAATCGGGAAGCTCTGGGTTCGGATCTCTGCTCTGAGTTGGGTGTAAGGTTGCCACAGGCCTGGAGAAAAACGCCCTGTCCTTTAAACGGGGAGGGGGGTTTGACCTCAAGGCACAGCTGATTTATGGCGACCCTGTAGAAGGGTTAGCGGGTCTCCTGTTTTTAGAGGACACATCGGTCCTTTCCACACTTGGATCTCATCCCTGGTTTTATAAGATTTCAACTCGGGACACAACACCTTGCATTTATCCCTGGTTATAACAGCATCCGTTTATCCCGGGACAAGTGTGGGGCAAAACGGGTGACCTCAATGTAATGTGGAAACAAAAAATACCCCGAGATAATTATAGGGGTGAACTCGAGTGTAGTACGTAGAATGCAAGATCGGGGACAGGGTTGAACCAGGATTTAAGGTCTAGTGCAGAAAGGACCCTTGGTGTCAGTCCTCATTTGGGCTCTTTTTTACAAAAAAGCTGATGAAAATGCCCTCTTTTTGGGTTAGAAGGTTAGTAGCAATGTTCCTAGTTAGTAGCAATGAACACAGCTCAAATAGGGTTAGGGTTAGGGACTTAAAATGAGATTTGCCATCGTGATCACTTGTTTGAAGTGGTCAGTTGGGAAATATGTCCTCTTTTTTGCTTTTCAAACTATGGCAACCCTACCCTGTAGAACAAAGTTGGAGTCCGGTGGCACTTTTAAGACCTGCAAAGTTTAATTCTGGGCATAAGCTTTCCTGTGTATGCACACTTCATCAGGTGCACACAAAAGCTTATACCCAAAATTAAACTGAGTTGGTCTTAAAGGTGCCCCTAGACTCAGACTTCGTTCTGTTGCTTGAGAGACCAACATGGCTACCTGAACCTGCCCTGTAGAGTTTTCAAGGCAAGAATCATTCATAGGTGGTTGGCCATTACCTGTCTCTGCCTAATGACCCTGGACTTCCTTGGTGGTCTCCCATCCAAGTACTAACCAGGGCTAGCCCGGGCCATCCAAAAAATGCCACTTAATAAGTCAACAATTGGAGGCAGAGATAGGCTTGGCCAAGCCCCCCGCTGGGGGCGGGTAAATTCCCGCCCAGGAGGCCTGTTACCCGCCGGCCGCCGGATCAGGCCCCGGGGGGGAACTCCACCCCTGCCGGAGGGCGTTCCCAGTGTGATGATGTCACCCGGAGGTGACATCATCACGCTGGCCACGTTGTGGGGGGACACTCTGTGAATCGAGGGAAAACTCTATGGTTTCCCCTCGAGTCACGGTGCCCCCCCAATGTGGGTGATGCAATCACGTCACTTCCGGTGACATCATCGTGGCGTGCGCAGGGTGACTCCCGATGGAGCCAGGAACCCCCTCGCTTTGCAGGTAAGTCGACTTGGCAACCCTAGGCAGAAACAGCAGGGCCTCGGCCTTGGCTCCTCCCTTGATCTACCAGACTCCACCCCCTGGCCCATGAGGTAACACCCCTCATCTCTCAGGCTCCTCCTCCTGAATATCAGGTCCCGAGCCCTATATCCCACTGAGGATGCTTTCCCCTACTCCATCCCAATATTAGGGTGCGGGGATGGACTTTGACTGTGTTTCAAGCCCTTTCTTAGACAGGGGTGATTCTGGGTCCACTGTTTTTAGTTGGAGAGAGCTTTGGTCTTAATCCAGAGGTGTTCTTATTTATTTTTTTAATAAGGCCATTTATTAGCTTTACCTTTACTAATAAACAGAACCTCCTTGTATACAGAGGATAAACAGAACCTCCCTGTATAGTGGCAGTTTACCACTGAATGCCAGCTGCTAAGGGTGAACAATGGTGGAAAGTCCGTTGAATCCCGTTGATTGGGGGATTTTCCAGAAGTATCTGGCTGCCCATGATTGGAAACAGGAGGCTGGGCTGAGCGAATCTTTAGTCTCTCTCTCTTCTCCTCTCTTTCCCCTTAACCTACCTCATAGGGTTGTTGTGAGAATAGCATTGAGGAAAGGGAATGTTAATTGTACTGAGCTCCTTTGAAGATGGGCAGGATGCCAATGGGGCATCTGCATGATGAAAGCGGCACTGGTTGAATTGCTGCCTGTGACCACTGCTCTTGATAAGGCCAAGATGTCTGCTAAGAAAACTGTCGCCATCGGTCAAATGCAAATCTGAGGGACACAAACGTTGTGGGATCCAGGTGGGGTAGCCATGTTGGTCTGAAGCGGCAGAACAAAGTTTGAGTCCAGTGGCACCTCTAAGACCAATAAAAAAATTTTTTCCTGAAGAGTTTATCTGAATAAGTGTGTGTGTGTGTGTGTGCACACAAAAGCTTATACCTTGAATAAAACTTTGTTGGTCTCAAAAGATGCCACTGGACTCAAACTTTGGGATTTAAGATCGTGCCTTGGAATGGGTTAAAGGCACAAATGTGTGATTCCTAGAGAGGACCTTTAAAACACAGTTCTGGTGGTGGTGGCGACAAGGATGATGACATAGGGGTGGGAAGTTGCCTCCCTTTTCCAGTTTCTGCCCCTTCTCCCCCCTCCCCACTTACTGGAAGCAAAGTAGCTTCCCCCTGAATTTTTCCCTTGGGCCCTGGAAGGATTGGCCTGGCTGACCGCAGGATATTGGTGAGTTTAAAGAGGAAAGTGGGGAAGGGGGGGGGGACGGGACCTATCTGTCAGATAGAAGGTAACACATGGCAACGGGCCATTAAGCAGAACCTCCATGTGTAGATGCAGTGTATCTCTGAATACCAAATGTCAGGGGATACAGGGTGAGGGTAGGCTGTTCCACGGGTACCTCATCTGAGGGTTTCCTGGACAGACCCAGGCAGTCACTGCTGGAAAGGGAATGGGGTGGGGGGAGGGGTGGTGTCTATGGCTCAGTGGCAGAGCATCTGCTTGGCACGCAGAAGGTCCCAAGTTCAATCCTCGGCATCTCCAGTTAAAAGGATCAGGTAGTATGTGATGTGAAAGACCTCTGCCTGAGACTCTGGAGAGGCGCTGCCAGTCTGAGAAGGTTTGTTTCCTTTCTAAGGATTAGACAAATCAGTGGGCGTTGGGTCCTGCCAATAGTTATTGCATCTGACTTTTTTGGGGTGGCTTCCAGTTTTGTGATCCTGATGCACTGCTTATTATATCTCGTGCTAGTTGACTGCATTCTTTCACACTGTGTAATCGGCCTTGAGTTACAGTGAGAAAGCTGGACTGTAAGCAGATAAATATGACCTGTAACAGATAGATTGCCCCTGTCCAAGGGGAGGGGTTCTCCCTCAAAGCACTGTTTCTCTCTGCCTGGAACAAATCTGTAACAATCTCTCTTCTGCATTCCCGTTATTATATACCTTAAAAGGTAAAGGTAAAGGTTCCCCTGCTCGAAAGCCAGTCGAATCCGATTCTAGGGTTGCGGTGCTCATCTCCGTTTCAAAGCCGAAGAGCCAGCGCTGTCCAAAGACGTTTCCGTGGTCATGTGGCCGGCATGACTAAACACCAAGGCGCACGGAACGCTGTTACCTTCCCACCGAAGTGGTCCCTATTTATCTACTTGCAATTTCTTGCTTTCGAACTGCTAGGTTGGCAGGAGCTGGAACTAGAGATGGGAGCTCACTCCGTCATGCGGCAACTTGGGTCTCGAACTGCTGAACTACCGACCTTCCACAGCCTGCAGTTCAGCGTCTTAACCACTTGAGCCACCGCAGCTACCTACAAATCTCTTAAAAGAATACTACTACATTTGTAGGGCTGCCAACCTCCAGGTGGCGCCTGGAATTCCCTCAGAATTTATAACTGGTCTCCCTATTACAGAGGTCAATTCCCCTGGACAAAATGGCTGCTTTGGAGGGTGGATTTTATGGCATTATACTCCACTGAGGTCCTTCCCCAGACCCTGCCCTTCCCAGTCTCCCAGAATTTTGTTGCCCAGGATTTTGTTTTTACGAAATAGGGGGCGGGGG